TACAGACGAAGCCACAGAGAATCATCCACAAATGTGCGATTCCCACCTCAGCATCTTTGGTCTGTACCCTCAGTAAGTGTTTTTCTCTTCCCAGTGTCTCTGTAGATGTCCAAAGGTTTCCTAATATCTTTGTGAAGGCGTTACAAACTTTGTTGTAGCAACACCGCTGCACTTCTCATGGGCAGGTGAAGCATCTTTTATCTACGTAGAGACCTGCAGGAGAAGGTTGTAAGTTGGAAACTTGGCCGCATGAACTGCAAGTAATAATCCTTCAGAACCACAAATTTCGGAAATATTTTGCTTGCTGTTTGCTTACAACCAGCTGATCACATGAGCACAGTGTCCCTGCGGCTGTGAACTGGGGGTTGAAGGCCTGCTGGTGTATAAAGAGTGTGTGTGCCCGTGTCACTGCTGCATGTCTGTTGTATGTGTGTACGTATGTTCATGTCACCAGGTGTGTCATTCTTTTTTCCACCAACCGTTGACATTTATATCATCTTTTAATCTCAACCAGGGAAAAATACTCCTTTTTGTGTTTGTAAACCTGTTCACACCCAGCCCCTCCCCCCGGGGGGGGGGGGGGGGGGGAGGGTATATCTTGTTTAGCATACAATCCCTTCAAATGTCATAGAAAGAGCTGCGTCTTTTGAAGTTGTCCGTTTGCTTTGTCTATCACCTCTCGGATAACCTCTGACCTCTGGGACATGGGCAGAGGTTACTTTGGTTCAATGTCAACACGGTATGTGGGACACAAGGGAAAGTTCCACATGTGTCCAATGTTACCAACAGTGGGACTGTATTACGTTCAAAAGGTTGGGAAAACCACAATAGTTGAACAATAATGGAGTAAAAGGCCGTTGAGTGTGTGACCCCCCAGCAGAGAAGCCTTGTTGTGTACCTGGTGTGTGTTATCTCACCTAGACGCCGACACTGGAGAAGCCTTGATGCGTGTCTCGTGTGTATATAAATTGGGTGAGTACTTTCAGCCTTGATGCACAACTTGTGTACTTGTGTACTACTTCCACTAAGTAGTTTGTGGGCTGAGACACAGACCTGCGAGCAGCAACTGGACGCATGACTGCTTCAGTTCAGTCTCCTGCTGGCGAGTATTATTTAAAAAATGTCCTGTTTAAGGATTTTACATCGGTGTTAACATAACTGTATGAAAGAATATTTGTGTCTTTATTATGCGAACAAAAGAAACAAAAATCAAGTTCCTAAGTAAAAATACATGAACTGAGAATACATTTTCTTATGCGACTAGAATTTTTGGCTACAAAACAAAAAACTTTTTTTCTTTAAAAAAAAACTTTACTCTAAAAAATAAACCTTTTGTCTCAAAAGAATTTTGCGATCTGAGTTTGGACGTAGTGGGCGGGGCATAAGCTGCTGAATGAAGCAGGAGTTTCTATTGGTGGTTGTAAACGGTAATATAAAGTGCCTCCATGTTAGCTTAGCTTAGTGGTACCATGTAGGGATGGTGAGGCAAAAGTTATTAATCATTTCTTGGTGTTTGATTACATGATTACACTGATTCTGCCAGCTACACTACCTCAGGTAATCGCTCAACCTCATCCAATGCAGCGTGTGCAGGACACTGTAACGTCCTTTCACCGTCCATTGGTAACCTGCTCACAAAGGTGCTGAAAGCCAACTGACCCTCCACAGTGCCCTGCTGAGCTACAGCCTTGTGGAACCTTCTAGCAGCCACTGACCTCAAACAGCAGGGTGATAATAAATATCAGTCCTTCCTTTGTCTTTGGCCGTAGAGCTCAAATGTCACAACAAAAACGATTTTCACGTTCTAAAGAAATGTTGCAAAGCGAATGTGGACTCAACTTACGCATTTTTCTCTCAGTAATTATCTCTCCAAGTCAATTTTTGGTATTCCTCATGTAAAAGACCATGCTTCTGAACATTTGATCTATTTAAATCACATTTTTAAGCCTGGAAAACAGAAGCTTATTGTTTTTATGCATCCAACCCTCTATTGTTGACATTGTTTGGGCCAAAAAGGTCCTGTGTCCATACCGTTTACATTGAGTTCAGTTCACAACAAGCACCACAAGCTCAGGTTTCAGATTGCAGACCTTAATTCCATTTTTAATTCCATATTCCATAATACGTCTTCAGATCATTTGTCGTGATTTTAAATGGCCAAAATAAAAAATACAGATTCAAATAAATGTCTCTGCCCAAAACGACCTGTTTCATCTGTTCCATGCATCATGTTTTCATGGTCTCTACTTGTGTACTGTACATCTGCTGAAAGCGAAAGCTCTTTGAAAACATGTTGTGAGGTTTGAAGATCTGTGTACCAGAAGCTGGTCGGTCACTGGCTTTCTGTAAACACGGTACATGTCGTGTTTAGGCTGGACGGGGGACAGTTGTTACAGAACATAAAGTTGTTCATTGGAGCGAGATCAGTCGCTTCTATCATTAGTTGACGGATCACTTTCTCCTTTCTCCTTTTTAAAGTCTCACAATGGACTCTGAGGGATCCTTTCCTTCTCTTTGCACCGACCATCTCCGTGCACACAAACAGTGCAGTGCAGCTGTCATTTGCACAGCTGTGTGCTTTGGAGTCCCGCCAGTCATTTGAGTCCACACGTGGTCAGAAGCAACAAAACACATCACACCCACACACACACACACACACACACACACACACACACACACACACACACACAGATAGAGTGCTGGGGAGAGAGAGGGAGAGGGAGAGAGATACAGAGATTAACAAAGCAATGTGTAAAAAAAGACAATGCTTAAAGATCAGAAGAAACTGCCCACCATTAAGTTCATTGCCTGTGTAGAACAAATATTAAACAGAAACAACATTCCTACTGTGGTCTTTAGAGCCCTTGAGGACTCTCCCAGTTGGTAATCCAGCCGTTGCTGCCATGTGCCGTACATGGAGGACACATACACAAGGTTTCTGCCCGAGGGCCCTCTCATTAACCAGGCCATGGAAAAAATGGTACCAAAAGTCATTTCTGACAATAATAATTGTAACCCCAATGTCCCTCCCAATGGGAAACTTTGCCTCAGGTAAATGTTTGTAGAACTAAATAATTAACCCATGTTAATGTTGCCGATGATCTCATATCCCAAACATCCAGCTGTGTTTTCACAGCTGTTGGAGAGAAAAACCGCAATATGTGGCGGGTCTTTGAGGTGACACCTCCTCTTTCCTGGTAGCATCAATATCAGGAATCAAGAATCAGGAACTTCTGATACCAAAATATGTCACACATACGAGGAATTTGACTTGGCGGTTGGTGCATAACATCAGACAGTAAGACAATGGACTGTCTTGTTGCAATGGACAACAAGACAGATAAGGCAACATAGTGCAAGGGGAATTTAAATTAAAAATAAAAGTTAAAAATAAAAAACAATGCAGCAGCGAACGGTGCAGCGGGGTAAGAGGGGTCGGCTACCATCTTTTTAGCTGCTTCAGAGACCTGGAAGCGAACAAGTCCTGCAGGGACGGCAGATTGCAGCCGATCACCCTCTCTGCAGAGCGGATGACACGCTGCAGCCTGCCCTTGTCCTTGGCTGTGGCTGCAGCGTACCAGACGGTGATGGAGGAGCAGAGGATGGACTCGATGATGGCCGTGTAGAAGTGGACCATCATCGTCTTTGGCAGGTTGAATTTCTTCAGCTGCCTCAGGAAGAACAACCTCTGCTGAGCCTTCTTGGTGATGGAGCTGATGTTCAGCTCCCACTTGAGGTCCTGGGTGATGATGGAGCCCAGGAAACGGAAGGAATCCGCATGACACAACTGGCCTTGGAACTATTGAGGAAAATTTGTTTCCAACGCCTACACTTTATTGAAGCTGCTTTTATCTTCTGGTCAAACGGACTCGAGAGAGTAGAAGTCCTTGGACAAGTGAGTTTTGCAGACGCTGGCATCCCTCTACTTGTCCTACAGCGCTCTCTGCTGTGAGAAGGAAGGAATTCTTTTCATCAGAATCCAAAGTGCTAAAAGTACCTTCAGGTTTTAGCAAAGGATGGGTTCATTGTGCATTGTGCTTCTTGCCGTGAGGCGACACCCACAGCTGTGAGTGGTAACCATCACACCACCGTGGCGCCGTAACATTCTTACGTTCACTACTAAACTTACACATACATACGTACTCTGTAAAACTATGCCCGTGCATATATAAAACATTATACATCTATAAGACTTAATGTTGGAAAAACTGCAATAATGTTCTACCTTAGTATTATATGTTTATAATCTTGTGGTGCAAAGATGATGGTCACATCCAAGGTCTACAACCAGCACCTGGGTTTTACCTGTTTTAGTATGTTTATTTTCCAGCTATAAATTCCTGCTCCAAAGATGAAAACCTTTGGGTAGGGTTGGCACATGACTTGTGTGTCAACTCTGTCTCCTCTTAAACACTTGCATATGTATCTAAACTTGTAATATCTTTGTAATCATATGCATTTCAATAGTAAATGTAAGAGTGTCTCATTAGTTAAGTCCTGAACGGCCCCTCAGACGTTAAGATCATGAAGTCCTTTCTACTGAGGTCCAAAGGAATACACAGCTCAACAGAGCTGTGACTGTCTGTCAGTCTGCCTACAGTGCTGACGAGAAACCTGGAGGTCTGTTTTCCTTTTTCTGAGAAGATGAATGAACCACTGATAGCCGGGCTCCATCACCCAGGACCTCAAGTGGGAGCTGAACATCAGCTGTTATGCTGATATGCACCAACCGCCAAGTCAAATTCCCTGTATGTGACATATTATGGCAATAAATAGTTCCTGATTCCTGATCCTGAACATGTAAGTGTGACAGAGATGCATACAAATAAGCAAGCAGGAAGTGGGCACAGCACAGTCTGCACTGTACATATTCTACATACTACTAAGCAGCCAACTCTACCTTTTATATCAGACTATTTCATCGTTGAATTCAACCTGATGGAAGAGCCACGCGCCTCCGCGTCCATAGGGGGCAGCACCGCGGCGGGGAGGAGGCGGCTCATGTGGCTCATCGAAGCCGCTGGAAGCAGCAGAGTGAGCGGTCAGCGTTCCTCTCACAGGGACGGGAGCCCGGCGGGGCTTTGGGGCTCTGTAGTTCTTTGGGGACGATGGCGGGCGGCTGTGGGGATGAAGATCTGTTCGACAACATCCTTTTGGCGGATGAAAGGCGAGTTTCCCGGAACGCGAGTGACGTCGTGTTTACGGGGAGCACGTGCCCGGCGGCGCCCGCGCCATCCGCGAATAAATGATTCGGGTTACCGTTTGATCCGTTTGTTTGTTTGTTTACTGTTTGTTTGACGCACACACACACACACACGCTGCGTTAAGCCTTTGAATACTGAAGGTTGACCTACGAAATCAAACCATCACATGACCACATGTAGAAGCGACTGTCGATGATAAAAGAAGCTTTTAGAGATTTCATGTGATCGTCACTGAACTGTGTGTGTACATGTTTATTCATACGTGTGTGTTTGTTCATGCGTGACGTGCTTGTGTTGCAGGTTCCGAGGGGAGGGGTACCAGGAGGGCTTCCACAGAGGCCGCCGGCGAGGCCTGCAGGAGGGCCGCAGACACGGGGCCTCCCACGGGGCCAAGCTGTCCACTGAGGTCAGTAGGCACGGGGCGCGCGCACACACACACACACACACACACACCCACCCTGTGGGGAGAAGCACTCAGGATTGTTTACAGTCTCTCGCCCTCCAACAGATTTCCTTTTATTACGGCTTCGCCGTCACATGGAGATGTCTCCTCCGTCATCACGTGGATGTCAGATCCAGGTCTGTCGTCTCCTGCCTCCATTTGAATAACTAAACCCTGAAGGTGTCCAGCTTCTTGCATGTTATTGTGTTGTGCTACTTCGTGCTTCTGTGTAAATGTGTAACAATCATCACTCTGTGAAAAGGATTCATTTGTAGGAAACCCTCCTGGTCTCTATTGTGCGCAGCTACAAGTTAAATAGAGAAAGTCACACACCGATTCAAGGCGTTAATATGAAAGGAGTACGTATAACATGTTAAAGTACAGGACGTTAGTAAACGTATGCAAAGTGAGCAGAGGCGTGTTTGTGTGTAAGAACCTTTTGACAGATTGTGTCATATCATCAGTCCTCCAACGAGGCTTCTGTCCTGAGCGTCCCCTCGGTGAGGCCCCCGTGTGACCCTTTCCTGTCCCCACGTGTGCCGTCAGGAAGCGCATGAAGGCGCTGGAGGCTCTGCTGGCTCTGATCCACAACTCCCCTCATGATGATCCTCAGTCTGCGCTGCTCCAAGAGCACACGGAGAAGCTTCGTGCCAAGTTCAGACAGGTAGTCCGTTTGCGTCCCTAATCTCTGCAGGATCACACGTCCATTCTATTCTGCGGCCTATTTTTATTTTAGATTGAATATTTGCTTTTAATGGTTGGTCTGCAGAATGTCCCTGTAATGACCTTCTGAGTGATGGAAGGGAATGCCGGTCCTGGCCTGCAATGGTGTGGACGCCGTCTGATCACCATACCGCTGTCCTCCAGGCACAGCAGCTAACCGCTATGTGCTAATGTCCATGTAATGTCTATGTGCTAATGTCCAGGTGTGCTCCATGCTGAGTGTCCCCACCGACTTCAGCGATTACACCAGAACTCCTGCTGGCACTTCTTTCTGAAGGCCTCGTGATGAGGAGGCGCTGATCCGAACACCTACTTCCTGCCTCAGAGAGGGAGGCGGGGCTCCGGTCAGACGGCAGCCCTGAGGTCGCCCCCCCCCCCCCCAGCGACTGATTGGTCTGCAGTGGTTTGTGAGAGCGGTGACTCTGAAGGTGTGATGCTCCACGGCCCATGTTGAACGGGACGACCTGAGGAGACGGCTGCAGTCACTCTGTCTGGTCCTCGGCCCAGAAGCACCTCACACACATTGGGGGGCATTGAGTGTCTCCTGGTAGACAAGTGGATTTATTGCAGTGTATTCTAGGCACAGCAGCAAACATGTCAAATGCCAAAATAAAATCTTGCAAGAAGCGTTGCTCCCTGTGGTCTGTGTGTGTGTGTGTGTGTGTGTGTGTGTGTGTGTGTGTGTGTTTCACTGCCCGTCTGTACCCCCACTGAAAACCTGCTCCACGAAGGCTTCCATGTTCCGTGTTTGCAACTCGTGCTTTTTAGATCAGAAACTATTCACGAACGTCATCACAGCGCGAGGAGAAGCTACAGGAGACGCCGACCACTAGAGGGCGTCAGTGATTCCAGCATGTTCATGAGAAGTGCAGCCCAGACACACACTCACACACGTGCTTTGTTGCAGTTGTATGTTGTTGCATAGAAATGTCTGATGCTTATTGGTTGTGTGTTTGCGCACACAGATAAATGTTGACGGTTCCGTTCTGGAAACGTGAAAACATTCTGAGCTTAAATTTGACCACAATGCAAAGATGGTGCAGGGAGTTTACACAGCCTCCACCCTCGACGGTCAGGCTCCACCTGAATGGTCAGCATTAATCAAAGAAGCACAGCTGCAGTGGGTGGAGGCGAAGGTGGGCCTGTGGATGGTAAGGGGACACTGTGGGTAACACCCGTTTACCCACATCCATCTCTTTTCCTCCACATGTGTTGGTTCACTACTGGGAGCCGTGAGGGATTAAACCGGCCCAGCGGGGGATGAGACGCCTGCTTGGAGGTGGACGCTGCTCTGAGACAGACCAACCCTCTGTCTGTCTTCTGTGGACAGATGGTTAGAAGTTTGCCTGAAGCGCAGGTTTGTGGTAGAAACCTTCCACGCTGTCTCAGCGTTGGTGGCGTATTACGGGATGTGTTGCTCATTGGCCGCCCGCGCAGCGACATGGACTCACTGCAGATCCGCTGGGACACAAAGCTGAGAATAAGGACGTCAAAGCGGAACCACAGCAAAGTAAATACGTCAACCAGAACACAACAGAGATGACACACAGTGTTGATGAGTGAGTGTACGTCGTGAACAGTAACACACTTTATTCGAGTACACGTGGAGACACTGCGACGTGTTCGTCTCCTCATAACGTGGTCAGAGACAGGTTGCTGGATGCCAGCAGGAGGTGATGGAGCAGCGATGGCTGTGCAGATACATGGTAACAGCCCAGCAGAGTCCTGACGTCGGGCAGAAGGAACAAAGAGAGCAGCTCTGATCACAGACGCGTCCGTCTGCTGATTGGTTAACGGTGAACTCCTGCCCCTCTCAGAGAGACGGGGTCAGTGACCTCTGCTGTGTACAGAATGCATCCATGGTGCTGCTCGGTCCACACACACACGACAACAACAGCATCAGCCCGCCTTCTGTTCCCCGTCCAGACTCCCTCTGACAATAACCCAACGGGACGGTGTGTGTGTGTGTGTGTGTGTGTGTACAGTAGCAGCTGCTTTGTGCAGCTTCAGGCAGCAGGTGAACGCTGTCTTGTGGTCGGCAGCTTCTGAAGACAAACAGAGAAAAGGAGAATGAGGAGGCCGGGGAGGGAGCAGCGGTGACAGGGGCCCAAACGAGAGCGATGCATTCAGATGAGTGTTTCACTTCGACTTGTACCCCCTTAAAGGAAGAAAAGGAAAAGAGAAAATCAAAGCCAGAGCTCGAGTGAACAATTACCACGAGAAATCCAAAGAAAGTGGAAAGGAATGAATCCATTGGTGGTGCAGGATGGTGGAGAGGAGGAAGCGGAGGAGTGGGGGTAAGAGTTAGAGTAATAGCGTAATGGGAGGAATGAGAGAAAGGGAGGTGGAGGAGAAGAGGAGGGGCCGAGCTCTTTGAGAGCGTGTGGAGGAATGTGGGGAGCAGGTGGTGAGTGGTGACATGAAAAGCAGTGGTGACAAATGCTGCCGTCCAGCAGCAGAAAGGCCCTCTGAATGAAATGGTGGCTTCAGATTTCACCGGCAGCACAGCAGCAGCTCCGGGAGGAGGAGGGGCCTCCCGAGAGCAGCAGATCAACAGGCTTCTTAGAAGGCCTTTGTTTCGTTTCGTCGTCCGGGGGTCAAACTACTGCTTCGCAGCTCAGAGGGAGCAAAGTGGTCACTGATTGGATATGAGTTCGTGCATTTTAACAGCGCTCACGTGAAGCAGAGAGATGCACGGAAAGGCCATAAAGAAACAGTCAACCAACCCTTAGGACCAGGCCACCTTCACGTTTTCTCACTTCCCCACTCTGAGGAGTCAGGGTTCAACCCGCTGCTCGGACACGGAGCTTCACAACGCGCACGTGGCCGACAGCCAGCGGCAGCCAAGCTGGTGGAATTAGCAGGCTAACGTTAGCTATTGAAGGCCTTAATGCTCGGCCTCCGTACCTCTGCAAGCGGCCATTAACGCTGATCTGCTACGTCGTGGGACGTGCCGAAAGCTTCACTTCCTGTTCCCAGGAAACAGACACCCGGTTTTGTTCCGAGTCGTGATTCTTCACAGTAGTAACCGAAAGAGTAAAAGTCTGATCACAGGGCCCCGCCGCTCTTTATTCCACATGTTGGTCCACAGCGGTGGATGATTTAAGAAGTGGGAGGTGCTATTATCCCAATATACATGGCAGTGAATAAGTCGAATCATTGGCCGAAAGCATGTCCTATCCGATACGATAGGTGGCGCTGTTTTCATGAAGGTGAAGCTACATCCCTCTACTATGTGTGCATGATGTTAATAGGAGCGCAGCGAATGCGAATGGCGCTATTGGCTGATTTGATAACGGAGAGAAGACGCCGTCGGGATCTCAAGCATCCAGTTCCTCATCCGATTCACCGTTACATGCCGCAATAGTCGAACTATCAACTGGATCGGACCGAGTTATCCAGGCGTGTTAGTCGGATAGAAGACTATTCAGCACTGCTTAGCTTAGTCCAACAGACACACGCCTAAAGCCCCCGTGAGGTTGAGAAATCTGCTGAAGAACACAACATCAGAGACGACTTAATGTCTCTCTGAGGGAACAAAGTCAGGTCTCCTGATTGACAGGTCGCTTGTCAGATGTTCCACAAATTACTTTTGGAAGGTGTTACTGAGAATATTGGATGAAAAGTCAATTTGTTCAAGGTCTTTAGGGTTAATAAACCTTGCATAGCTTTGTAAGGTCCATGAGCTGTACTGTAAACGGGTCTTTCTTCTCCCGTATAGTGGTTTATGTCCTCTGGATGAACCGTAGCACGGCATCTCCACCAATCATTACCACCAGCCGAGATCCTCATCACCAATAGGTCCAGTATACAGTATAGGTCCGTCTTCCAATTGGATGTGGTTTTCCATGACTGTGTATGAAGCAGTTGTTGGCTGATGTTGACTCCCTGACCATTGACGAGTCACGAGACTTGGTCTCACACAGCACTAAAGCAGAGGTAGCAGAGGCAGATCCTGTGTGAGGGCCCCTGCCCCCGTGAGAACCTTTGCACTTTATAGCACCGCGGCCCTAAAGGTTTGTGAGTGTTTCTCACGCGCTCGCCGAGTGAGCGCTGGAATCACACGCAGAGGAACAGTTTGTTGCCCCGCTGACTCCCGGACCTCAGTAGGCCACAGCAGGGACGTGTGGCGTTACCACAAACCAGGTCCCTTTACGTTTTCTACCAACCCTTTCTAAAATGGCCCAAAAGCCTAAATAGCTCGGAAAAGTTCAAATACTGTCAAATAGAAAAGAAAAGCCCCAGTTCAACATGTGTTGGGGGGGGGGGGGGGCAGGAAAGAAATGAGCACGTACATCAGGCTGCTGGTGTGTGTGTGTGTGTGTGTGTGTGTGTGTGTGTGTGTGTGTGTGTGTGAGGCCTGTGGGAAAGGATTAGACTTTCACGCCTTTCCTACACACTGAAGCCCCATCAAAGACATTCCTTGCATAACAAATCAATGAGTACCATCACGCACACACACAAACACACAATCCTGGTAATCATTAGCCAAACAATCATGATTCACTTTCTTCTTCTTCCCTTTAATGTGGGAAGGAGGAAATTAGCACGTTGAAACATTAGCATTTGCAGCTGTATACAGTATATGATATAAAAACTACAAATGAATCATCCTCCTGTGGTAACTTTGTGTGGATACGTCACACTCCTCCCTGCTCTCATTTGGAGTGTAAAGGTGCTTTAAAGTAACTTTCCCAATATCCTCCCTACAGCGGCAACTCGTGGAGCTTTGTCCAACGCATGTTCATCCCATTTAATGCTGTAAAGCAAACAGAAGCACCCTCCAGTTACATAATGACAATAAAGGATCCTGGTAACCTGGAGAGGAGCGGAGCCTCTGAGGGGCTTCCTGGTTCTCAATAGAAGAGCTGCTGCCCTTCACTTCCTGCTCGTGCTTCACTTCCTGCGCTGACGCAGTCACATCCGGCTGGTAGCAGAGCGACACCGCTGCATCGGTACACCCAGTGGACTTCATGCTGCTCCGCCCATCCAAATCTACAGTAAGGTACCGGAGGTTGTCCGATGACGCGTCCACAGGATCAAATGTCGGTGCATCTGCGTGCATTGTAATACAGGAACTTGTGTCACCACAGGAATTCCGGTCTGAACGCAATCGGTGTTGCGAACGGGCAAGAAAAGAGGAAGAAGATGAGCGTGCAGCTGTTGAGCCGACGCGGCACTTTCTTTCTTGTCATTTGCAGAAGTGGCGTTCCCTTTCTCAGAGGGGAACCATTCCAGGTTCGTCTTCCAGAAGAAGCCCCGGGGCGATCGGTGGAGCCTTGCGTCCAGATGTTTCTCCCTCTCATCGGTCAGGTGCAGCCACAATACGTGGGCTTCTTTCTGTTCCTGCTGCAGCTTCTCACTTCTACATCCCGACCAGAAGTTTCCTCCTCAGTCGGTCAGCCGCTTGTCGATCCTTCAGAGCGCCGTATTCTCTGCTGATATTGTGGATGTCACAGCGAGGTGCTCCTAACTGTGTTAATCCGCAGCAGGAAGTAGTCCCTCTCTTAGCATAGCATCACGTGTGGACAAGAACAGAGCGTTTTACACACTGATCCATCTAGTTCATGTTTTTATTGTGTAGTTGACAGAAGTTGCAGAGAACTGGCATGAAGTCGACACTGAGTGGAATGATTGGTAACAACACAAGTCTATGGCTTACCAAGCACGACACCCTACGTACAAACGCAACTCACTCAACCATTTCTTCTTCCATAAATATCAAAAGGGGAAAGGAACAGAGGCCCCCATGGGCCTAAAGTGGGGATAAAAGTCTCTTTACCGAGACAGCTTAGCACTCAAAAGAGTTAAACACACCCAGGTTTCTGTCATGGCTTCCCCTCTGCAAGCAGGTTGAACAAAGAGACCGAGACGAGAGATAGATCTGGACTGTCACATGAGGTATTGTGGATCAAAGCATTTCTGTACATTTTTCTCCATATTTTTTGGAATAGATCGGAAAATCAAATTCTGTATGTAATTATACACATACAAAATAAAAACGGATCACATAGAATCTACACAAAAACAACAAATGAGGATGTCAATAGAACAATTTTCTATGAGAAAATTCAAAACTAAAATGGCAGCATATTGACATTTATATGTATAAAAAAACACCAAAATGTAGCAGCAAACAGGAGAAAAGCATCATTTTTAATCCATTACGTTTTTGTCAGTTTTTCTTTTTTTTTTTAACACGTAGCTGGGATTCATTTTCTATAGCAGCGGAATATAAGGAGTGTTTCTCTCCTCCTCTCTGTCCTTAATGTACAATCACAAACCTCATTCACAGGGTTCCACGCAGCCCAACGCACTGTAGGAACCCTCCGCAGCATGGAGACCCCCTCCCTGTCCAGCCTCCACCCTTCTGACACCCACCCACCCCTCGGGACCCTCGCCAGCTTCGCTTTACACCTTTATTTTAGGCGAGTCCCCAGGAGATGCAGCCCAGGTCTTTTAGGTTTGTGCAAAATCATAGTCTCAGCACTTTTTTTTCTTTTTTTTTTTTAGCTTCATCCCCTTCCCAGAACCCATGAGCAGTGCTTTTGTCCCATTGGAGGACTCAGGACTCAGACTCCTGCTCACCCCCCCGTTCAAATGACATCTTGTTTTACAAACTCAATCCCTCTTTTTTCTCTCTTTTTTTAGACGACCAGCAGCGCTGACCCAAAAGTGCTTTTTTTTTAACAAAGTTGGAATGGTTGAGATCTCACTACATGGAGAAAGACACATGGCAGACTGTGGGGGGGCTCTGCATCCATTTGATCTCATCAAATCACACCACGTGTCCGAGCCTCGGCTTCAGCGCTCCACCGTCACCGGGTCAAAAAACAGCATCTCACACTGCACGTAAAGAGGTGGAACTCACGAATGATAAAGTGACTAAACATGAGCGAGCAGGGACACGAGACGTTTGACCTGCAGGGACACGAGATGTTTGACCTGCAGGGACACGAGACGTTTGACCTGCAGGGACACGAGACGTTTGACCTGCAGGGACAGGGACACGAAATGTTTGACCTGCAGGGACAGGGACACGAGATGTTTGACCTGCAGGGACAGGGACACGAGATGTTTGACCTGCAGGGACACGAGATGTTTGACCTGCAGGGACACGAGATGTTTGACCTGCAGGGACACAAGATGTTTGACCTGCAGACAAACACGGGAGTCAAAGACATTACAACCACAAGCAGCCTCTTCTCTGTGACACGAGTCTGAGGAGCTGAAGGAACACGAGCACACGTGGGGGGCTTAGTAGGCCACTTGCATCTGCACTCATTTAAACATTCCTACTTTAATATTCAAGGAAATGACAGAAACAATCTACTAAAATGTCTTTTGTGGCTTCATCTCGCGCCCTCGCGGGTTTCCGGCGTCTTTCCTCTCGTACATTTCTGTAGTGTTCTTTTCTTTTCCCAGGATGGGGGGGGGGGGGGGGGGACTGGCAGGAGAAGTGACGCGGGCTTTGCAGGGGGGGGGGGGGTATCCCCCCCTTTTTTGGTCTTGGCCACTGCGGGGGAAAACGGGCAGGTAAGGGACACCTCGGCCATTACACCCCCCCAGGCCAAAAGAGGAGGAGGGGAGGCTGGGTTCGGATGAAGAACCCCCCCCCCCCCCCTTTCCCTCGAATCATCAGGGTCAGCGGCGCAGGCGCTCACTCATTTCAGATGATTGATGTCTCAGACATCTGTGAGCGTGCAGAAACAGAGTCCACGTCCTCGTCCACGTGCTTGCTCTCGGCGGCGCTGCTGAGCTCCCGCACCCACTATCAGGCTGGACTCCAGCAGAGACTCGATCTGCTCCTGACAGGAGCGCAAGCAGTCCTATGAGAAGAGATCGGCAGTGAGTGAACACCACGCCCGCCAGCAGCCAGAGCAACGCTCTCTCTACATCGCCGACGGGTTTGCGTACCGGGTCGCTGCGGATGACCTGCGACAGGAAGTTGGTGAGGTTCTGGGAGGACAGGGAGGCGTCCTGGCTCTTCAAGTAGAGACCCTGAACCGCTGCCACCACGCTGCCCGCCGCCACCATGGAGGGAGGACTGGCGATGAAGTTGACGTCTGCGGAAAGAGCACGGCGCCGTGTTACAACAGAGAAGGTCCATATGAGTGGGCGCTGCTGGAAGAGACGCCATACGTCCAACATATGGTGACCCAAAGTGACCCAGGACCAGACAGGAAAACAACACATGTCTCTGCTCACATCTGCCCCTCGGAACCTCCAGCATTTATTAACTAATAATGACCAAGTAGGTGGAAGAGAGCAGAACAGGGGTTTGGATCTAAAACAGCACAACTAGGTACAAAGAAATACAAATACTCAGTACAGAGGAGAATATACTACAATAAAATGGCACGTTAAAGCGGAGATGGTTAGAGATCTAAAAGGATGACCATTTATCATAATTATCTTAGCATAAACATTGAGTTTATCTACTGTAACATGACGTGTCATTTAGTCACATTGTTCTACCTGTAGCACAAAGAGCCACGAAGGTCTGGGCGTGTTTCCTGAGGGTCTGCTTGGTGGACGGGTAGATCTTCAGCTTGGACAGGAAGTGCTCGATGAAGTCGTGAGGCGTGACTGAAGCCAGGTCCCATTTCAGCTTGTTGAGAACCAGCAGCTCCATTTGCTGCAGGCGAACAGGGGACAGAGACAGTTAGTCCTCCTGTCTATTTACGTCTGCTGTCATAAATCATTACTAAAATATCCGACAACTCCAGCTAGTACAGCTTTGCCCTTTTCTGTCCACATCTGGGCTCATGTTTACGGCTTTTCTTATTTTCCCAAAAGATTGCATCAATGGATCTACTCGATTTAATTTTTTCTAATTTATTGATACAATATAAATACAGCTGCATTAATGCAGTTATAGATGTATACGTTGTCGTATGTCAGCTTCCTTCGGTAAATGCAAATATGATTTAATTGCGTTTAACTATGATAAGCATCAACTGTGTGGAGACGCAGCAAAGTCAGACCTGCACCTCCCGGTCACTGCCACCAGGTGTCGCTGTGATCGGGCTTTTCCCGCAGTCACTGAGACCATTCATGAAATCAGAGAGGCCTCCAAGTCGCCATGGGAAAGTCTCAGGCAGCACACTGCTGCAGCGATGCCATGTTTCTACCTTTTCTCATGTCGCCCACATGATTCAGCACCGATTCTTCACTACAATTTGGATATTTTGTGAAAATGGCGACACGACAAAGCAGAAGAACTGCAAGCACACTTCAGGCCTATTCGTGGTCTCCTGATAGCTGATCATGTAGGCTACTGTATGTGTTATGCAACATCCATGTGTGCAGAACTCAATTACCAGCAGCTCTCCGGGCTGGACCGAGTTGTCCGTGTAGATGCAGAGTTTCTCCGCCGTTAGGGGCACGGTTTCCTTCATCTTGGACGCCAGAAACATGCATGTGGCTCCCAGCAGCTGTAGTCGTGTTTTCCTGGTGGCCTCCACCGATAAAAATCTGTCCAAATAGTTCATAGCCAGCGGAAAAACCTCCTCCTCGCACTTTTGTTCCTCGCAGACCTAGGAGGTGAGAAGAGCACTTAAAGGTTGCTGGAGGAAAATGCCCCCATTCACATGCAGTGTGACGTCCTTTCCCCCACTAAAGTCTCCTTTTGTGTACAGCTGTTTACGTTTAATCATTTGCAAATTAATAAAAAACGGAATTAAACATTTTGTGCATCTAATGTACTCAAATTCAGTGTTTAACTATCGCTCTAAAACGCAAACACAATGCACATGTAGCCATAAACATTTAAAATCCAAATGCATTAATTACAAGTGGCTCGCAGCACTGAACACGGTGCGGAATTAGTCAGCAGTCCCTTCTGACGGAGACACCAAGGTGGCGTCTATGCAAGTTTCACTCTGCAATTTCAACTTCGTCATCTTTTCATAAAATATTTATAAATAGTTAAAAATTACCAGGGTGCGTACAATTATCATGTAAATGATCCTCAGCTAAAACCTGTTCGGATGACGCTGGAATAGGTCGAAATGTGCCACGGATTGATTAAATAAAAAATCATTTGTCAGACTGGGTTTATTCCAAACGCGACACATCGCGTCGGCTCTCCGATGCGCAGTTTCAGAAATTAATATAAAATATAAAGCTACGCACATTTCAATCCAATAGCTCATGTTAATGTTAAGAAACATGCACTCTATCAAACCCGACTGTGTAAATGCATTTAATACTTTCGCAGCTTTAGTAAACGCTTTTTTCCCCCCGAGCGACCTTCGCGGACCGAAGCGACTCGGAGAAGCGAAACAAACTTTTGCCATCGATCGCAGAGGAAGGAGCCGCCGCAGAGCGCGTGAGGCCGCAGGGCGACACGCGCGCGTTTCCGGCCCTTCCAACCGACTTACTGTCATTGCTGCCGACGTTATAGATTTTTAATGACATTAAAATCATTCTCTTATACGACAACAAAGATGGCGCGTAATGCTGGCACGGGCCGGACTGCATACGTGTACATTGCTGTTATTTTGGAATATTTTCCACGTGTAATTACATTTCAGAATCTTCTGGAAAACGTAACCTAACACACAACGACGAACAGAAAGGTGTAACTTCTAACGCGTGTGCAGCCCGTGGTCCATATGTGCGGTGGTGGGCGAAGGACCACCCAGCACTCCCGGATCCACGCTGCTCCTTTATGTAACGTGCGCGCTGAATTAAGACGCTTTGGGCCGAAGAGCCGCGACCACCTTTAAACTAACGCGACGCCGCCGCACTCGGGCACTAAAGTCGAAAGTTCAAGTGAAATAAGAACCAACCTCTAACATCCAGGTAGCGACTATTTTCCTCATTTTGGGCACAATTTCTTTCTGGACACACTTCAAGTAGTTTGGCGACGGCAGGTAGTGTTCCTCGGCCTTCAGCATGGTGTGGAGAACTCGGTCGTTGAGCAGGTTGACGTCCATGTAGGCTCTCCTGATGGAGTCCACCTCGCAGCACAGCAGCTGGTCCTCCATGGCGGGCTACTGGTGCCGGTAATGTCGCACGGTGACGCCTCTGCGCGGGCTCTGTGTTACGGGAGGGAGCGGCGGCGGTCCGCGGATCTACGGTCACGGTCTCCTCGCTGCGCTGCGGCCGCTGAGCTCTGCTGCTGCTCCGGTGTGCGCGAGCCCACTGAGGCGCACAGCGAGTCCCTCCGCGAGACAAAACCTGGCGTCGCACGCACGCACATCACGGGCGGGGGGGCGGTGGGGATGACGTCAGCTGTTGTTAGGAGAGGGGGGGGGGTATCAAAGGAACACGCAGGCTGTCATGGAGTGCGCGAGGAAGAGATTATATTATATACACACACATATATATATATGTATGTGTATATGTATTTATTAATTTCTGTACATATAAAGTAAAGAGAGGGCAGGGACCCCCCCCCCCCCCCCACACACACACAGTTTTATCGAAGGAGGTGGGAGGTCCGGGGCCGACTCTGGGGGACGTCTGTCGCCGGCGGAGAGGAGCTGTAAGGGGGGGAGGGGGGGTCGGTAGGGGGCGACCGCGGCTCCGCGCGCTGAGCATGAGGTGAGCACATGACACGATAGTGCGGTCCGACTCACACAGGAGCGCTGCTTCAACCACCGGTGCATCCCGACTTTGAAGCCACATGGTGGGGGGCTCTGTGGGGGGGGGGCAGGTAAACGTATTACGCTGGATAACATCTGTTAGTAATTCATCACATCAACTGTAAGCGACATTTGCACAATTTAGTTCCACAGCAACACGACCATATAAAACAGGTTTGTGAGTCAACATCTGTACATGAGAACTCATATGTGTGATTTGATTAAATACTAACTGGGCCCTCTGGGGCAAATTTGTAATTTGCCATTTTGGGCTACACAAAATATAAGGAATTGACTTGAGAAGTGTGTGTGTGTGTATGTATGTGTGTGTGCGTGTGTGTGTGTGTGTACTGACCATTGCAAAAGTAAATCTGCAGTGTAACAAACTGTGTTGAAGTCAGGTTAGTTTGCTTTGTAAGGCTGAAGTGCCAATAGTAAAGTTTTAAAGACTCTTTCTAACACACACACACACACACACAAACGCACACAAACGCACACGCACACACACACGCACGCACACGCACACACACACACACACACACACACACACACACACACACACACACACACACAAACGGGAGGAGACTGGAGTTTCACCAATGGGAGGAATTGCTGTTACTAGGCAGATGTCGGCCTAACTTTTCACGTGAGGAAAAGTTCAGAAATGGGCAGTTATTAAAAAGTGGATAAAAGTCTTCGGTAATCAATAAAGGGCTCCAACTACTGATCAGCGTATATCTGCTCTGTTGTTCTGAGCGAGGACAGAAGGAGCCATATATTGAATCACGTTTACAGCTTGATACAAAGTACATCAATCCTCACATTTAGTTGTTGAAGTTAAACAGCAGCATTTAGTGTGAAGATGTGAACATTTGAATGTAGTTTCAACGTGAAACAGAGTTTTTAACATTCCTGGAATTCCTCTCTGGGCTATTGGTGGACTACCGTAATGTCTGCAGAGGGCTACACCTCTGTGGACGGAGGCTGGAGTCTCAGCAGAACTTCTTATCGTTATTATAAGGGATCCAAAAACATGTCTTCACTATGCATTATCATCTGTCAGCGATCTAAGAAATGCTGCCTTTTCCAAACTTATATTTAGAAAATGGTTAATTTAAATGTACACGATCAAACACTCTTTGCATTCTAAAACATTTGTTTAGTTTTGTGACTTCTTTACAAAGGACTTCGCATCAATACGAATAAAAGGGTACAATCTTTAATACAACAAAACAATATTATAAACAATTGATGCCTTTCACTACTATAAGCCCTTTAGATTATCTCATTAATTCCCTTTACAAAGGTGTCCGTCACTCAAGCACAAGGTATATATAGTTTATTATATATATATAGTTATAACCAGCTAAATGTTTGAATCAAACTTCCATATTATTGACTTTTTCAACATTGTTTTCAACTGACAAGGTGAAGTCAAACAGAATGACATCCATGAGTTGTGTTCCTCTTCATGTCTCTTCTCAGTGCCTCTGCTGCACAGATAGATAGAGGCTTTCCACTGCAAACAAAGGGAGCAGGAGCATGTGACTTTTGCAGTGAGGCTCTTCTAGCAGCTTTATGGTAACTGGTAGGACGCGTTTAAAGGGACAGCAGCTGGAACACAAACTCATACCACTTGTTGAGCCTATTTCACTACATACCTAGATATAGTGTGGGTTTCCACTAATTTAGCGAGGTAGTTGAAGAAATGTGACTACATTCTATACATGACCCAGGAAAAGAAACGGATAAATAAATACAACTATGGCTGGTGATGCTATTTAGCAACAATGACAATCTCTATCGCTATGAAGGCACGGGGTCGGAACCAGGCTGCTGGGATAGCCTCATATGATCCGATGTAATCATCTGAAGGGCCCATCCCCTGGATCAGAAAGGGGCTGCTCGCTGCAAAACACTGTTCAGTGGTTGATTTGAAAAGTCGGCTGCCGCTCAGCAGGGGTTTGAAGAGACGCATCGAGCGGTCTGAATAGCAACATACACAGCACATTTCATTGACTCTGTGAGATTCAATTTGAACTCTAAGCTGGTTTTCATATTGTCCCAAATAAATCAGCTCAGTGTTAAATGCACACGTGCACACCAAGAAGTGTGACAGTGGTGTCCAGTTACACTTTGTAGCTCTGCTTGTTGCTTCGACTCGAGTGAGGAAGTTACCACGTGTTTGTAAAAGGAACGTGAGTTGTCTTCATCAAATGTTCTCATTCTCAATGATTTGCTCATTCCATGTCACCTTAATTCATCAGAGGGTTAGGAGTGTGTGTGTGTGTGTGTGTTACCCCTCCTCGCACCCTCTCACTGGTACTTGTAAACCCCACTCCCCAACTTCACTTGTTTCATTAGCACCTTTAACACAACGATGTTTTTCACACAAACACATCCCTCCACAAATGTGCCGCTGGATGAGGAAGCGATCAGACTCCGCCATGTGCTTTTGTGTCATTTATTATATTCCCCATTCTGTTGCTCAGTTTGAGAATAAAAACAAAACTTAAATTCTTGTCTTCTGCTACAAAGGAAGTCTAGAATAGTCCTGGTCAAGTAGTGACATTTGTCTTCACCCTCATTCTATGTCCAGCTTTGAAGTCGGACGCCTCTTCATATTCTAAATATGACCTCCAACAACACGCACACACATGTGTGTGTGTGTGTGTGTGTGTGTGTGAGGGCTTCCCTTCCTCCAGCCATCACCCAGAAGGACTGAGTGAAAGAGAGCAGGCAGAGAAAGAGGCGTCTTCCTTGTGAATGAAGCTCCTTTCTCTGCTGAGGGCAGGTCCACAATGACCCTGTAAAGATGGATAGGGAGATTGTCCTGTGAAGTGATCCGCGAACACAGATAGGCGGGGGTCAATCCGGGCGTGTGTGTGTGTGTCCTGCACCACGACAAGCACCTCTGGTCTGGCTGGATGGGTGGCTGCTATAGGGCCAAGGGCAAGGATAAGAGGGAAACCCCAGCACAATGGCTCAGTGGGGTTTGGGAGCGGGAGGGTTGCTGGAATGCATGCATCCCATATCACACACACAAGTGTTCTGCAATGAGATCGTGCCAACTACATGTTAAGCCTTGACATGCAGTCTACACAAAGTGAACAGTGTCTGAATGTGTGCTTTGACACCTTCAAAACCTCGTTTCCTTCTTCATCTGACACGTCCATCCCTCATTTCTATTAATATCGCTGGAACACATTGCTGACAACTTGTAGCCCCAAACTCTTTCACGTTGCATTGCCCAGCTGGCCGTGGTCAATGAGCCTCAGCGAGGTGTTTCTCTCGTGGCACACACAATCCACCCAGTTGATTCAATAAAAAGAACCTGACGGTTAACACGAGCGGCCATTGGCCTCGTGGCTCAGCAGGATACAGGACACGGCCTATTTAGGGCCTCAATGCGCATATCAAACTGCATGCACTTATTGAAAGTCGCTCTGGACCAACGTGTCACCTAAATTACATATAAATGCCCTTGTGATCAACACAAGCATTTGAATGCAAAATAACTCGTTAGCATTGAGCTCACTGGAATGCGAACAGGGCAGTTGGTCGCTCTGCTCACTGCAGAGTCAACTGTGCACACTAGTACTTTTCCATTTGAAAACAAAGTCGTAAACGCATATTCTTGGAAGCAATGGCGTAGATACGGCCGTTGGCTGCTTGATCGGGACCCTTATTCGTCACGCCGCCATCACGTGACCAATTGCCAGAGGCTCACAAACAATAACTGCATCATCGATGGGCTTCCTGTGGCTAAGCAAACATGGACAAGTGATTACAGGCGTTGCCAGCGTAGATGTCTTCACTAGCAGCTGGTGGAGAGGTGAGCGTGCGGCTACGGATCGTACGTTCAAAGAGGCGGTTTGAGGCTTTAAGGAGGACGATGGACACAAAACAAAGGGCTTTTCTTTCTAAAGGCCGGCGCATGCTTCTGCGTCGCGTCGACGGACTCGTTTCAATTCATGGTTCTAAAAGTCTTGCGTGTGTTGCAGAGCGATTCACCTCCAGAACAAGAGGTGGAGTAACGTGTTTTGTTGAAGACGACCTAGAGAGTCACGTCTATTTATTTATTTGTTTGTTTGTTTATTTATCATAGACTTTATTGCCCCGTGCATCACACTGCTGCTTTTCATCGCGGACACATTTGTCCCGTATTTTCCTCCTCGACTTTGTTCCTCTCGACCAGCAAACCGGCGTTTGCGGCGATCTCCCTCCGTCAATCCAACCCGGCAATGACGGCTTGTAGAAGCGTCATATTTACGCATTTCTTCAGACAAAAGTTCTTCAATCTGATCCGTTCTCTCGTAAACATTCTTCGTTTTAATAATGGCCGTATCGGGCTGTGAAAGCGGAAATGTGAGACTCCGTGAAGGACGTAGTTAGCGGACCAATCGCAGCCTGCGGGAGTCTAGAAAAATGGCTCGACACACGCAAGGACGCAAGGAGGTGTGAAAAGGCACGCAAGGGACACGCAAGGGACACGCAAGGGGGTCTTGCGTCTGCGTCGCTCTGAAAACGCAGAAGCATAAACTAGCCTTTAGCTATCATGAGAAAGTCCAGTTCAACACCGGAG